TTGCGGGAGAGAGGGAACGTCAGAGAGATCGAGAGAGAGAGATTGAGAGAGAGAGTGAGAAAGAGAGAAGAGAGAGCACACGTGCGTGCATGCATGCGTGCACGTGTGTTTGTGAGTATGTGTGCGTGAGCGTACATGTGTGTGTGTGTGTGTGTGTGTGTGTGTGTGTGTGTGTGTGCGTGCGAGCACGTGTTCTAGCGGCGAAGCCACCACCTCACCACACAGTCCGCGCGCGCACCGCTACCAGCACTCACTCACTCACTCACTCACACACACACACACGATTTCGCGTGGTTTGTGAGGAGGGATGCGACGTACGGCTGGCCTCAGCGACACTTGTTTATCATGCCTGCTTGTTTTCGCTGGTCTGTTCTCATGGTAGGCTGTAGCAGCCCGACTCTCAATAGAGGCCCATGCTAGCCTGCGTGAGTCGTGCATACATACGCGACAACGCTCGTCTTCTCAACTTATCAGTGTGTTCTATCGCCGCCTAAGGATTCTCTGCGCGCGTGTGTACGTACGTGAGTGTGTGCGTGTGAGTTCCACCTCTTCGACCATCATACTCTCGGTTGGTCTTGATCGTTGTGTAGTTTGTAGTGTGTTCGCAGTTCTTTCTTACACCATCGTATTATGATCTAAAACGGCAGTGATTTGAGTTATTTCTTCCGAAATGGTGGCTAGGAAACAAGACATCACCCATTAGGACCTTATTCAGGATTCTGTTGGACATATTCAGTCTGTGATGACTGAGATTGCGTGAGGTTTGTGTTGTTGTTCGTTACGTCATCGCCATGCCGTCGTATGTGCCGCTGCTGGAGTTGTCTCCGCGGACTGATCCGATGTGTAGTGTTGAGTAGTAGTCTCCTAGCGTGTTCATGACAGAAAGGAAGCCAGTGATGCTGGCAAATTGATCGTCTTCTCCACGACATGGTGTCTGCAGCTGCGACTGCGCTTGCGTTTTTATCAGACAGACCATGGAGATCTATCTGGTTGGGTGGTAGATCTAGATCTAGATCTAGATCGACCGCAGATCTATAGGACTAGATAGCAGCCACGGGGTGCCCTTCTGACGTACATCTTCTATCTTTGCATGAGGTTGTAGCGGGAAGAGTGGGGGAATTTGTTTTACTAACAGTCGTGTCCATTGTTTGATATATCTAGATTATCTATTTTTCTGTGTCTTTATCCGTCAATGTCATTGTCTGTGTAGGCTACCTATCTTATCTATCTGCATAATTTGTCTGCCTCTATCTCTCTCTTTTACACTCTCTGTCTCTGTCTCTGTATCTCTCTCTCTCTCTCTCTCTCTCTCTCTCTCTCTCTCTCTCTCTCTCTCTCTCTCTCTCTGTGTGTGTCACTCATGTTTCTCCCCCTCTTTTCTCCGTACACCCCCACCCCCCAAACAGATATTATCTTCCGGCTATCAGTCTTTAATCTGTCATTCTACGCCTCCCTGTAGACCAATCTTGGGATTGTCATCAAGTCTACAAACATTGTAACCATTATTTATAGCTAAGTCAACCCGGAGTTCAGTAATGCCAACACTATCCGTGTTTCCTTCTGTTTGTCTCTGTATTTATCAGCGAAGTCTTGGCATTTATCACGGAGCATAATTTGTTTATCCTTTAGGAAAGGCAGATTTAGTTATTATAATTATGGTAGCATTTTTGACGAGTGCTCTCGCTGTCTTTCTCCTTTTATCGAATCTCGCGGCACATTGCGTAATGTTGTTCTTTCCTGGTCTAGAAGAGAAATACCTGCAATCTTTTTCCCTATCGGCCACAAGAACAGATCCGGGTATTTTGAGAAACCAAATATTATACATTATTTTGGGTTTAGATCTAGGTCTCTATGAAAGGTTCATATCTAGTAAGGAAGGTTTTAAAGAAAGGAACTGCTACTCAGTTAAGGCTAACACTTGCATCTTCTTACTCACTCCTACATCGTTCCCACTCCCGAGCCCACGGCTGAGTGTAGGATTTGGTGTATAATAATCTTTTTTCCTGGTCATATTCTTTTTATTCAAATATCAAAATTGACCAAGATGTACTGTTTGAGTTAACAGCCCAATTGCCCTTTTAAATCTGACACAGACATCGTCGCCAGTTGTCTGTGTTCATGTGGTACTTACAATAGGAGGATGTCCATTCTAAAAATAAAACAGTGCTTTAGGAGTAACCATTGACTCTCTTAAAGATGGACTTTGAGATAAATAACACCATTATTTCTAACTGCAGTGACATTCAAATGCCACTTCTTTCATGGACGGAGGGTTTTTTTCTTCCTTGTGAAAGGAGTGCCAAAATATACTTACAGTTTATATCACAGTCCTTCTTTCTAACAATGCTGGGTCAGCGAAGTGTATTTACTTGACAATGTCCTTCCTGGTCTGACTCGTGATATCTCTGGCAAATCTCACAATATAAACGAAAGAGAATGTGTAAATATATATATAAAACAATGTCTTTATGTGGTTGATCATCACTTCACTTTTTGCCTAAGTCCATGAGGGAAGATTTAATATCTGTTGTAAATCAGCTAGAATTATAAAGTCATTGATTAACAAAGACAACAGTTCAAGAAAACGCTATTTAAATTAATTATTAAAAACAGAATAACAGCGCTGTAAAAAAAAAAACCCACTTTCCACAACAGTTTGTACGATTCTGTTTGAATCGAACCCAGGGCAACAGTGAATAAATGCAAGCGTTTAATAACCACTGCATCTTTTTGATCCAGGTACATCTGAACATTAAATTTACTTTACGAAAACAACAGTGTATAAACTTGTCTCTCAATAAATGTCAATTTGCGACAATCATACCTCATTGCTAGATTCAGCATTAAAAAATGGTGCAGTGTTGAAGGTGTTTTTTATTTTTGTTTTGTTTTTTGGGGTGTGGGGTGTGTGGGCGTCATAAAACATACGCAGTACAAAGGTAAAGCTGGGATAATGATTTATAAGATTATATTACAGATTAAACGGACAAAGACCTCGAGTTTACTGTAAATCCGTGGAGGGCGAAGTCACGATCGCCGATTATGTGCCTGAGAAATAAGTAATGAGACTCACCCGCTGTGGCAATACATAAAATGTGTTAAAATTTGGAGACAAGAAAAAAGGAAAAGGGGATGTTAAATAAAGGTATTTTTATGCCGAACAATAACCATCCGATCCATTCTGTTGTAACTGAACAGTTGTCCTAAGGTGGACTTCCATTATATCTTGTGTAACTGTGTAACCGTGTTATGATGATCCTAGTGACAGTTCTGCAACCTATGCCATGCAATATAATTTTTCTCAGTAACAACACACACATGCACACAAACATACACATATATAAACACACACTACAGAAACACACGACACGCGCACTGCTTCTCTCTCACAAAATCTCTCTCTCTCTCTCTCTCTCTCTCTCTCTCTCTCTCTC